CATACAAATAAAATCCAAAATATGCGTAGATAGTAACTGAAATCGTAAAGTACTTATTTACCAATAAACTATAAACAATAACTTACCTCTTTTATATTTTCCCGAACGAAAACACTCTAATTTGGCTTTTTTTTTCAATGGTAAAACTTTACGTTTTCTACTTTTTTTCAAAGTGACCGCTAATTTGACTGCAAAATAGTTGTCTGAGTGCAGCGCAGCCCTATGAACGAATGTGAACTATATTTTTATGTACTATAGTGTGTAGTTACGCTACTTTCTATTAGATGGCGTGAAAATGCGTCGTGTTACGAAATACAAGGAATAAATCGGTATGTACCATATGTGTCACACTATGCGCTGTAGGGTTAAGATTGTCTATTGCATTAACACATGGTAATTCGATTATACTACAAGAACACACTCCAATACCACACCTCTGACCCAATACACTAAGATCACGTTAAGATTAACCGTATTTTACTAAACAAACACAATGCAGTAATTTACTCTAGGAATATGCCTCGCCTAAGTTTCACTTTAGTAAAACCAAGGTCACTTTTAAGATTTTAAACTAGTACGATTTTTATACTAATGAGAGTTAATAATTAGGGAAAACGCGATTAGGAAATAAGTACGTGTCACGTTAGAATTGTAAGCAACACTGATGATATCGCAGAAAGTAAACTTTAACAAAATAAATTGATTGACTTTGACAGTCTTATTAATTAAACCCATTTTTGAGTATTGCAATTGTCTCACACGATCGAAGTGAAATTTCCTGGTGGATTCAATCATTATTCTCTGCTGTAATGACGTGTCCGTGTACTAAAATTACACCACTTACTTATTGACACGTTCCAAAAATATACTAAACTCTTGGCAAAACTGAACGGGCGTTAACACCGCTATCAGCCGCATAATACCCAACTTACGCGTTCATAACTATACCTATACAGTATACGAGCACTGTACGCGTATCCGCACTGTTCGCATTGCCCCGTGTCTGTACATAGTGCAGCAAGGTTACTTTCATAGTCCTGTCTGATATAGCATCACGCCACATAACACCGTATAAGCTCATACCAAGTACATTTTTTAAACTTTAAGAAAACTTGGAACAATAAAAACCTATGGTTGACCATATTATCACTATGTTCGTTTGCCTTATTATTTTTATTATATCCTGAAAAATCTTACTCAACATGTATAGGCATGTATTGCATTTTTATCGTTTTTTATCTTAGATAATCTTGATCGGTATGTCAAAAATTAGTTATCACCTGCATAAGTGAATATGTAACGTTGATTCGTATTACTTATATTCGAATAAGTTTTAACGATCATAAACTCTATAAAAGAATTATAGGTAATATTACATTAATTTAATGAAAAATCCTATTTGCTCGTCTTCTTTGATAGTGGTTTATACTATAAACACTATAACCATACGTGACTACAGTTTCGCTGAGAACTGCACAATAGAATTTATATTGAAAATGGCGTATCGACTAAGTAAATGCGCTCCTTCCTATTACACGTAAATTCTCATCTCATCTCAGGTTAATTTTAGTTCACCTCGACATCGAATGGAAAGTTTCATACGTAATTGATATTGTGATTTCGTTGTACTATGCTATAACAAAAGGCGTGTATGTTTTATCATAAACCCATGAGACGGTTATTATGATTTTTTGATTTACAATGCTAAGGGCATTGTATATTTTCAATTTATAATAACCTAAATTAACTAAAAACGCCCAAAAATACAATTATGTAATGACTGAAACAAATGTTTTGTGACCTTACGAAGATAACTTATAACCGGCACAAAATTACTCTTTGAAACGTGAACTCTGACTGCGGGACTAATACTTTGCATTATCGAAAGACCCGTAGAACACTATATATTTACTATTCCCTGCAGAAAGACATCACAAATACAACATATATAAGTGCCCAAAAATCAGTGTCAGGTTAAAGGATCACAAAACTCTGGAATAAGCAGCTCGCGTAAGTCGTATAGATGATGATATATTGTCAGGTGAACCTAACAGATGTTGCTCTGGAGGTTGAATAGGAAGTTTATGAAGAACACCACCCAATAAATTTCAGACTATAAAAGATACAATAGGATTTCAGCAGTGGAACCATAATTTTTGATGAAAGAGAGTAACACAAATTCATGTTTGGAGTTGAAAAAAGAAATTATTGAACTGAATTAATCTACCTGTATTTCTTTCTTTTACCTTATTTATAATGCATTGGAGTATATTGTCAACTGGAAGAATAATTTTGCATAGATATTTTTTGCAAAATATACAAAATAAGTGTTATTGGACAGATGTGCGATAGAGGTTGGGCTTGTAGTACTGTTAGTTAGCAGCGTTTTGTTCCGCGCCACTAATTTTCAATAACCTATTCTCACTAACGGACACCTCTGCTGCGCTTTAGCTAACAAAATAATTCTGCCAATTACAGTAAAGGTCTGCCACTTTTGTTATTTTACAAGAGGGATGATAAAAGTCCCTTTTTTGAGCCCGTCGTTGAAACTTTGTACCCTATTCGACGAAAATTACGTGGTAAACTTGCGCAAGAGTATAAAATATGAGACACTTACCTAGTTTGTAAAATCTTGAAATTATATATTTATTTTTTTATGTTGAAGCTGTTCTTTTACAATCCAAACAGCAGCCCCGAAACAGTCGAATTCCTATATAGTGGAAAAATTTCTCAACGTTGCGTTTGCACATCTAAATTACACAGGTGCCTAGGAGCTATCCTACATATCAAGTCACAATTAAGTTATCACAACATACAACCATTGAAATGGGGTTCCGATGTTCACCTCCATAGTGACAATTTCCATCGGCTGCCTACGCTAAGGGTAACATGAAACCTAGTTCTTCAAACAAATTTTACGATTTCTAAAATCATCCCAGTAGTTTCAAAGCTTCTTGAATGCAAGTCCCCTTAAATAATTATTTAGCGGTGTGTTATTATACCGGTAACAGGAATACGTCATCTGTGAAATTTAAACAACTGTCTAGATATCACGGTTCATGAGATGGCTGGTGACAGACAGACGAGACGGACAACGGAGTCTTAGTAATAGGGTCCCCGGATGATTTTATTTTAAATTTGGTTTCGTTTAAGATGACAAAATAAAAATTGTAAGATCATACATAACCCCGTAGGATTTACTGTATGCACTAGACTAACGGCTCTACCGCATAACTGGATTGTTGTGTCAAAATGAAGCCCTTAACAACCTGACACTGTCAGCAGTCCTATCAAGATTTGTGTGTCCAATCGGACCTCGCATTTTTTAATTACTACTCTGTAAATGTTATATAATGTCTACATGGTCAATAAATGTCTTTCTTTAAATCCTAAATCAATCCAGATTGATCTGCTGACAGTTGATCTATCAGCCTAGCGTCTTGGATTTATTTTGAAATTTATTTTATTTTAATCAGGACTTCAGTTACTAGGTAAAGCTGCGTTTCTTTTGTAAATGCATATACCTGTTTCGAGTAAATCAGAATGCGGAAGCTTCGTCATAACGTTCGGTTCATATACTTACCTTAAAACTTGCACGGAAACTATCGTACATTACAATATAGTCATATGCAACGTGTATAGCTCATAAATTATAGAAGATTGTTGTTATTATTAAACTATAGCTAATTAATTAATGATTAGATAAAGAATATGCTGATATTGAGGTTTATTGTGTCGTCTTTTTATATATCTTTTAGCTAAATGCTATTAATATTGCGAAAATTCTCTACAACAAATGCCTTATATCACAACACAGGCTAGATCATCCTTATTAATGATTAAAATAATAATTTCTAATTATCAAACCTAAACACAATAGAGAAAGAAGTAAATTTGCATCATTTACTATAGAGGAAATTTTTTTGTCAATATGTAAAATTTAATATTGTATTCGTTACTCTTTTTTGAATCTACTGACATTGAAGATAAAAAAAAAGTTTTCCATAAAAATATTGCTGCTTATCATAAACCTGTTCAAACTATATCCAGAGGTCAATGACCGATTTAGGTCTACATACCTACAGTGTGTTTACTAATATTAAAAAAACATGAAAATGGTGTAAATATTTATAACAATCAAATTACGAATTTTAATATTTTGCATTAACCGCCTTTGCCCACCCTAGCATTAGTACCATATTGTTATCTTAATGTTAATAATTATGTGTTAAAAATAAAGTTTCATTTATTATTATTATTAAGATCTAGGAGACAAAAGAAATATTAAAAATCTTAATAGATATATTCGGTTAAACCATTTAAGCAATATTAACTAATTTTTACTATATATTTAGTTAATAACTAATTATGGTATAATTAGTATATGTACTCTTAATTGCATAATAGAAAAAAAAGAATGAATATTCAGAAATATCGTACAATATACGATGTCATCGCTTGCTAGTGATTTCTACCAGGCAACCTTTTTGTAACGTCCTTGTTACCTGGCAAGTAACGAGGGTATGTGGGACTCCTCCGTGATCGACCAGTCAACCTAGCAGTAGTTAACGTTAACTATTTGTGACAGTGAAAACGAGTAATTCTGCAAAGCAAATCTTCCTAAAACGTATACTGTAGTTTGAAATAAATATAACGGTAGCAGACGTGTACGCAACATCGAGCATCTATCGTCAGGTGGTTTAGGGATTGGTTACAAATAAAATAAAAAAACAACTGACTGTCGCGACCGGTAATACTGACCTTGTCCTCTCGTATTTCGGTCCCCCTACTTTAGCGGCCGCTACCCCTCGAGACGGCGACGAACGGCACAAACTGCGCTACTCTCGAGAACCTTGTGATTACGTCACCACAACCACTCATTGTGTCATCTACTTCCTCGTTTTAATTGAAAGTCGTCATAGGCCAAAATTAGTCGAGCATATTTTTTTTTAATCTAGTTTGTCTTTATTGTTTTATTGATATCAATCTTTGTCCCGCAGACTGCGTCTATTTTGAGACGTCGCCGAAGTCTCCGTACCAAATCCGGCGAATAGAGGAGCTGAACAAAACAGCGTCGGGTAATGTGGAGGCGAAAGTTATGTGTTTCTACAGGCGGCGAGACCTGCCCAACCCCCTCATACAGTTAGCTGATAAGCATCAAAGTAAGTAACCGAATCCGACAATTCGTATACACAAAAACACAGGCTTTGGCGTTTTAACAAATGCGTTATGATTATGTTACATTTTCCTTAATAAAACTTCTGCCGACGGTACTAATTAAATTACATTGTATGTACGTTCGTATACACTCGTTTGATAAGTTTTAATATATCACTCTGACGGACGGATTCGTTTCTTATGTCCTTGAGATTCGAGTACATTGAACAAGAAAATTCTACATTATTGATTTGGGTAAATCGCACGCCATGCAGTATTGCAGTAACAAAGAAAGCCAGCGCGTATTGGTCGCCGGGTAAACGAACAAGCACACAGAGCAATAATAATACTTTTGCAATCGCCCCCTGGTCACGTGTCCATATGGTATTACGCGCGTTTGATACTTTCCTATAAATAGCTCGAAAACTCGATTATCCGTGGGAGCTGTAACTAGGATTACTCAGCGGGTGTCTGGATCCGCGGCCACGGACTTGTCAATATATCTAAAGTGCGTCAGCTTTTAATACTTTTGTATCGCCATTTACATTTGCTTACCAATACCGATATATATTTTGTTACAAATACTCTACAAACACATAATAATATAAAATACTAACGTGGATATTAATAATCGGAATAGGATAAATGTTCTTACTTCAGACCTTATCAAAAGTGATAGGATTGCATATAGTAAGTCGCAAGCATCATGCGCCGGCCGTCCCTTGTTTAAAACCACTACTTGATTATATTTGATTGAGTATGCATTAGCTCTATCTATTATATTTGTTCACCAGCTATAGTTAGCATAAGTACGATTTTACGTCTAATCTAATAATATATTTTTTATTACATTTATACACCTTCAGTTTTGGCATGAACTGTTAGATAAAAAAATTAACATTAATTATAATTACAGACTGCTATTATCTGTGTAAAAGTAATGGTTTCAACGTCACGATTGACATTGTTACTGTGTAATTGTAAAACATGATTCTGCTCATGCTTTTATAAAATGTGCCGCTAATATCTCTAAATCTTTTCATTAAAAATTTACTACAATTAGCTCGACTATCATTATATTCATGAAAATCAGGTTTTCATTTAAATTTTTCATTAAGTACATTAAATATTTAATGGCATTAAAATTGAAGGCCAAAAAGGAATCGTAGACGTTGCAAGGACTGTTACATAAACATTTGGTGCCCCAGTGCTCCCTCGGTCGTGGTAATGACCCTGACGCGGTGTGGTTAGTAGCTGGCAGAGACGAAACCGCAAACTAAACTGTGTCATACCAGATCCTATATTATGTATGACACTCAAAAATGCAATCATTGTAATAAATTTTCTCATTTGAATAAAAATTTTGATTTTTTGAACGATATTTAAAGCGTCTTCCTAAAAAATATGTCAACTAGTCGGACTTCTTTAAACGACGCAATTATATTACTGAATGTAAAATGTAGTCGTAAACAGTGAATTTATGTAAGGTAATAATAATGACACACTTTTTCTCCGTACTGAACTACCGACATATGAGGGAAAGTTGTCGAACAGTAAAAAAATGTGCATGCTACATACAAAAGCACGGCCGGTGGTCAGAGCTCAGCAGCGCTGCGGCAACGCGACGTGGTCGAGTTTTTACACGATCCACCAGCCCGTGACACAGTGTACGAAATTTACACACCAGTAAGACCACTTTCTCATAGAATCAATGTTCATGTAAGTCATGTCACTAAAAAAATACTCATTGCGTATTATACATATTAACATTCACTAAGTTTACTAACATCAATTCATCATATTTTTGAACGCCAATCGACTACCCTTCGCAAAATAAAAACACTACCATTCATACTCACATTAAAATAATGTTAGTTTTCATCGAAATGTTATACCACCTTTTTTATAGCTTTTAATAGTGGCCGCCCGTGACTTCGTCCGCGTGGAAGTCGGTTTCCCGCAACCCTTATCACTAAGGAGTATGAAAAATAGATGTCGACCGATTCTCAGACCTACTCAATATACTCACAAAATTTCATGAGAATCGGTCAAGCAGTTTCGGAGGAGTACTGGAACGAAAATTGTGACACGAGAATTTATATAGCTTTTATTAATATCCAAAATTGTAAATAGATGACTGATAGTATTATTGCATAAACTTTCCTTTATGTTCATACTAGATTTTTGTTAAATTAATAACGACATTAAAATAATAAAACATACAAATGTTAAGTGGCTGTTCAAAATTCAAATTTTAATAATCAATATTTTCGATCAGGTACTGTTCAATGAAACTTGCTGCCAACTTGTACACTGTGGCACGCGTGTCATAAAAGCTCTTCTATTTGTTGGTTATAAACATGGTTAAACTCTGAATATGAATAAAAAGGTGGAAATAATAATGATGATATTATTGCTATCGTTTTATTAAAACGAATTTTATTTTGTTCTGGGGCAAATCGAAATCGGTTATTTTTTTTTTATTTCTTTGATAAATAAACTGTATTGACAAAAGAACTAAATAAAATTACTTAAACTTATAAGGGGGAAAAAGTTAAGTAATAGTAGAAATTTAATTTTGAATTTTTTGTGAGCTTTTTCTTAATTCTTTGGCATGCTTGTATGTTTATGAGTGCCATTTAATCATCCCTTATTCCGAACCCTAAAGCTGAAATTTCAGTTAATTTTATTGGAAAATATTCTTAATGAAAATGTTTATAAAAAGTCCACTTGGTCCGTGGCAACCTGAGATGGGATGGCATTTTTCATTAAGAATATTTATCAGTACAGCAAAGTGAATTCGAAATTGATCAGATAAAATAATTTTATTGGAGTTAAAATAAAGGTACATTTCCAATAACAATATTCATGTCAACCGCATAACTAAAAAAATAATGCATCGATACGCGACGTCTTAGAGCAGCGCGTCGTCCTTTGTTTCATCGGCTGAAGTGATTTGTATACGTTACCTACATGTCTTCAATTTTATCAACGTCTTTTACAGTGGGATTACTATAAAATGCTATAAAGCTCGATTCGGAACAAAGATGGTGTGTTAATTCGGACCGCGTAGACCAAGGGGCGCGGCGGCCGGGGTTAGTAAACATAATCATGGCCTCCTCCCGCTATACAATTCAGTAGCTAAATGGGAATGAAGAGTTACCTCGCCTCTACACCCCAACCCACCCCCTTCACTGTCTGCCACCGCGACGCCCACACGTCTTGTGATGTACTCGTTGAAAAGGTCATACCCTTATTTTTTTAACTGATATCTATAATCATCTTCAGTTGTATTAAACTGAATTTTTTTTTGACAAATAAGTAGCACAAACAGTGTTGCTGAGAAAGCACACAAAAGTACATATCGTAAAAATTTTATCGTAATGACCCCAATGACGGTCACTGGAGATGTCCCCGCGTCAGAATACACAATCGAGTCATACAACAGTTTCGGATGACAGCCTCCATAAAGAAATTGAGTGTATGGTAAAAATGCACAAATATCAATATGCTGTGTGAGTCGTATTCTAAACTCCTTAACTGAATGCTTGCCCCTCCCCGCGAATAAGCCCCCCGCTCGGTATCGACCGTCGTCCTCATCTCGCAGGTACACGCAACACTTATCTCGGTTTTAATTGTCGCCACGCGCCGATGACCCATACTGCTGACTCCAATACACTGCCTCTGAGCCTATAAAATGAAAATAAAAAAACACGTACTCATTTAGTTATACACATTTTTCAAAATCAAGGTATTTGTGGATTAAAGACAATTCCTGCGCTTATTACTAACTGTCCTAGTCCGATGTGACAAAGAAAATGTGTGTCGATAAAACATTTTATAATAAGTTCTCAGAATTTTTGTAAACCGTGAAATTTACGCAAAAATTATGTATTACGATATTGATCCCTTTTAAAAGCTCTAATAAAAAGTCCGCGGTAACATAATCTTATATCTTATCCCAAAAACATATAAAGGAATAAAAATGAGAGTGGAAGTTCGTATAGGGCATTAAAACGTTACCATGGTTACCATTGTTTACAATTCAATTTGTCATTGTAAATATATTCTATGTCATCCTTTTCCAAACCCATATTAAATAATTTTAGCTTTTTAAACTTTTGAAAATTCAAATCTGTACAATCTTCGCTAATATTAAATGCATATTGTGTTCTGTTGATTAGGTACACAAAAATTTTTCATTTAGCTGACGCTACTGATCATTAACTAACAAAAATCAAAATCCCGTTTTAAAAGTACAGTAGCGTCATTTACGGCCAGTTGCACAAACGTCCAATTTTGATTTTTGTTATGTTTGTAGGCATTTTTTTATTTTATTAAACGAAGTAGCGTTCGTTTTCAATTTTGAGGTTTTTCCAATAACATAATTAAATAGGAAATAGTTAAAAAAATGAAATGTTACATTTAGCTGACGCTACTGATCACTAGATGACGCATTTGTCCTTTAAAACGGGATTTCGATTTTTGTTTTATTTTTAAACTTTGTTTGTTTTCGATTTTAATCAAAAAAAGTACCTTTCGTTTTCAATTTTGCTGGTTTTCCAATAACATAATTTAACGAGGAATTGTTGATTCGGCGTAAAAATTAAATCTTACAATAAGCTGTATTCGCTAGATGACGCTACTGTATTTTTAAAATGGTGTTTTTCCGATTTTTATCAAACAAAGTCGCTTTCGTTTTCAATTTTACGATTTTTACCCTTATAGTTTCGCCGTGTCCGGTCGTCGGTCTCCGATTTAACTTAAAACGATTTGTATTAGAAAGATGTAATACCTATATAACATGAGTGTACCTATATAATAGAGTAATACCTATATACACTTTAATCACGCCGTCAAAGAGGTAAAATAAAATTTATCTTCCCATAGGGTATCGTTGGATAGGTTTATCAAAAATTTTAGGGGTGTAAGAAGACGTTTGGTTAACCGTTAGTAACTTTTTCAGCTTTCCCCCCCTACCCTCTACCAACTAAACAGTTTTCAG